AAACACATAACCGCTGAGTCTCAGCTTTGTAATCAGACATTTCCAGTCCATATATTTTATCGGCAGCTCACAGGCCTAAAACAGCTTTAGTCATAAATACGGTTGGTGTTGCTGTACTTTTCAAATAACGAGAAGTAAAGTGAAGTCTGAACCAAGCAATTAAGAGTTGATTAATAACTCTGACAGGTGGCTGATATGTTTTTCGGAGCCGCAGACAGATTTTCGGTGGCTCAGATTTGTGTGAACCGTCATGTCTGGTCATGTTTTGCTAACAGAATCTTTACGACTCACCGCCATCAAAATATATGATTTCAGAAAGGTCATCTAAGCTCCTATCAGATTTTACAAACTCTCTTTCTACGTTTTAAAACAAGTGTTTAAAAAGCAGTTTGAGGTCTTGAATGAGATGATTTTTTAACTGCTTGTGATGTCAAATTTTTTAAATAATAAATATGAATGCATGAACGGAAACATAACATTGATAATATATTGCAAAAAAGAAAACAGTGAGATGAACAGTTGTTGAGACATTCACACGTGAACAAACAGGAAGTGATGTCAAAGGGGAATGTCTGAATTTAAACAGAGCGTTGCTACAATAGCTAACAACCCAGACTTTAGAGAAAATAATGTTTCTTTAGATTGTTTTGAGTCARTGTCAGAGAGATGAAGAAGTCAGTGTTCAAATAATATGGTTTGAATAAAAAAAGACCAGGGAGTTCCCCTTTCATGTCACTTCCTGTTTCACTTTGGCTGAGCCATATTCAAAGAACAATGTGCCAGTTATGTGACAAGATGGGTAAAGTCACGTGTTTTATGCCAAAATTCTTAAAGATGTTTTAACTTTTTGTACTTGAAAGTTGTTCATGTCACAGGCACTTCAAGGTTCGGTCTGCCTCTGGAAACCCAAATAGCTACAAATGATTAACTTTTGGAGTCAGCTTGATTCAAGATGGCTGCCTAAAAAGAACCTAAACAGCACAAACATGGCCACATTCCTCAATATAAAATTATCTTAATTAAAACTCYTGAAAGCTGGGGTAGGAAATGCATTCCGTGATGAAATAGGCCTTTAAATTATAGTTTTATTCTTACTTTTTACAATTGCAWATATTAATCCTTAGTCACAAACGAATAGGTTCAATATGAACACACGTATAGAGCAACAAGGGATGAACACGTGCAGGAATTGTACATTTATTTAAGACATATTTGTGATCCAAGTTAAAATGAATAATAGGTTTATATTGTGTTATTATTATTATTATTTTAGTTTTCAGGATGATATTTGTTTCTGTTGCGCTGCAGCYGCATCTTCCTAAAAATGTAAATGACCCAAATTCAACTGCACTTTTTCTCCCCCCACAGTCCCACAACGAGCAAGTCGGAAGAAAGCAGGAAAGATGTTCTTGTTTGTGTGTGTGTGTGTGTGTGTGTGTGTGTGTGTGTGTGTGTGTGTGTGTGTGTGTGTGTGTGTGTGTGTGTGTGTGTGTGTGTGTGTGTGTGTGTGTGTTATCAGACAGCCCGTGGGTCTCTGTTCGCCTGCTTCAGAGCCACAGGCGTTGAGACAGCCCTGCCTCGACAGAGTCGGCCGCTCCCGCTCACGTCTTGCGGCCCCCGAGGCAAGCCGTGACAAGCCACGGGGCCCCTACCGAGGGGCCCCATTGTCTCTGTCAGCACACTCTGAGCTGGAAACTCAGGGCGCTCTCTGAGCTCGTTGTGACAACGCTAACAACCTCTCTCCTCAAAAGAGGCTGAACGCCTGTTCATTAATTATCTGAATCCTTGTTAATTGGATTAATTGTTGAATGGAAACCGTGTTATTAAAAATGACGAAAACACAAGGGCAGGGGGAGCAAAAGGGAGGGATTAATATTGTTTCTGTTTACTCTGCGGCTGTCGGAAGACAAGGAGAAATCACACACACACACTCTGCTTTGCCACATTGTTCTTTCACTAACTTTTTTCTTCATCACAAATCCTAACACAACACACGTACGCAGAAACTACATGTGACCCAACTCAGAAGAGAGCGTGCTAAGCAAGGTGCAAATCACCGCGCARGCTCGCTCGCCCTGATAAGAACTAAACCCTTTTTCAAAGCTCAAAATAAATGCCAYTTTCTGTTTGATGCGAGAGGACTGTGTGACTTTTCCATCGCTTCCAGTCAAAGAGAAAAGAGGGGAAGAAAATAAAACATAAAGTCAACGCCGTGAACAATTCAGTTATCTCCAAGTCCCATGTTAAACTGGGTTTCTCATTCCCTCTGCCTATCTGCTGAGCCTTATCCACTGAAATCACTTATCAGAGTTTTACTTGAAGGGATGTTTTATCAGCCCAGCTTTAAGATGGAGCGGTGATACTGCGGACCATTTGGACGACAGGACTCATTTCAGATGTCGTCTGTAATTGGAAGTGGTGTAAATGAGTCCCTTTTATGCTCAAATTTAGCTTAAATCCGTACTGACACTGTATRGGAAGTCAAACTTTAGACACTTTGAATTTAAATTGTGATGAGGGGAAGTTACAACAAATAGAAGCAAGTTCATTTGTTTTTTTTTTTTTTTCCAAATGAACAGATTTATTGAATCGATTCTTGCAGAAATGTGTTCCACTAGTTTTGYAGGCAACTGGTTTTCCTCCTGCTTTGACATGAAGTTACTGACCTGGATAATTTTTGCTTCTGGAGTAAATTATGTGATGGCATAATGTCACTTCAATTAAACTTGTCCAAACACATCATTACATGAGGCTAATAATGCTGTTTGATCAGTTTATTGAACATTCAGCCGTGCTGAGACCTTTGACTTAAGGTGGAACAACTCATTCTGGAGAGAGGCCTTCAGCACTACTTCACAACCTCTGACCTTTTAATGGAGGGTTATTACCGAGGCGACAACACCAATAAAACAACATTATACAAGATAGACGTGGATGCCCTTATTTTCAGGGTGAGTAAAGCCGTTTTAAATGGCATCAGGTTATTAACGGACATTTGAAAACACTGAATGAAGAGAGGTGTGTTCAGGGGCCAAAAATAAATGAATTTGCTTTTCAGATTCAAACTCCCTGATCTGAATGATCCCAGTGAGCGCTTAGAGGACATGGTTGTTTAGTTTGTGTAAACTAAAATGCACACTGCCTCACAATTCCTGTCGAGTTAGTGACCTGTTTGACAGGCTGAATGACTAAGTCTGAGATGGGGGGGGG